GCAACAATAACGTTAGATACCTCAATAAGATTCGCTTGACTCTGCCCATTCTTCTTCTTGACCCTGCAATCCTTAGCCTTGTGACCAGTCAGACCACACTAAAAACAGGTACCCTTAAACTTATACTTCTAAACCTTCTCTTTAGGCTTAAGTGAACTGTTTTTTTTGGCTTTGGACTGGTTGTTTGGTTTGGGTTCAACAAGATTGGCTTTGGCATAAGAAGAGGAAAGGAAAACATAATAAACTTTGTCTTTAATACGGTTTTCCTCCTCAATTTTGAGGTGTCTTACAAGCTCCTCTAAGGTTAGGTCTTTCTTTTTGTGCATCAATTGGTTACGAAAATCCTTCCAAGAGGGAGGGAGTTTCTCAATCAAAACAATAGCAAGGGTAATATCACAAATAGATAGATCTTCAGCAGCCATATTAATACACACATTCTCATAAGCATGAACTGATCAATAATATGCTTATCATCCACAACTTGAAAACTCAACCACTTACTAACACAATAACGTTTAGTATTAGCATCATCAGTCCCATATTTTTTCTTTAAAGCATCCCAAATATCCTTAGCATGATAAAAAAAAACCATATTATAAATATCCAACAGATTATTTGACATATAATGCAGCAACATGCCCTTACAAGTTTTATCATCCTTAGCAAATTTAACATCAGTTTCAGACAAATCATCCTTATCAACAAGTTCAACAATTTCATCAAGCACATACGCAACATCAATTTGTTCCAAATAAAAACGCATCCTAACAACCAATGTTTATAATTCTTTCCATCAAGAGGTTCTAACTTAGACATATCAGGAATTAGAAATTTGGAAGCCATATTCGTCTTTTAGATTGTTAAACTATAAGCAATAAAACAGTAATTACTTAGCTGTTGTTGCGTGAGCGAAACTGACAGTAACCTTGTCGTGGCGAATCACTGACCTAAAAGACGATTCTGTGCTACCTCCCGCTGCAGTAGACATGAAGCGGTCGCCCTCCAAGATAAGCACGACGAGTTTATGTGCACTCACAAACCCAATTGGAATTCAAAATACTTGCCCAGAAAACAGAAAAGATTAAAACCCGTATTTAGCAATATAAGAGAAGAGATAAAGCGATTGTTGTTGTGTGTTTTTAGCTGAAGAAGCACCAAGTATTTATAGGCAGAAGGAGGAAACGGCTAGCAGAAAAGAAGGAACCTACTGTCTAGATTAATTCGGTTAATGAGGAGCAATAAACAAGGGAGTGTAACAGTCAGCTATAATTAAGGAATTAGTGGCTGAATAAATCCCCAACAGTCAGAAAATCCCAACAGTCAAACTAGAATAAATGTTAAGAAATATTCCGTCAACAAAGAAAGGAAATAAAATTTCTTCAAAAAAGATAAAGGGCCCACAATCCACCCTCGCATCGCATTCGCCAAGACCCCAAGTCCACGAATCCTGAGGCCCGACCCGACGCGCGCGCTTATGTGTGTGGTATAATACCCACCTCCCACTTACTCAACTAAGTAATTGTAGGGGAAAGGGGAAATCGAGGAAGAAGAGGGAAAAGGAATAAAAGAAAAAAAAAAATTTGATTTAAGAGGTCACGTGCCCGGCACATGACATTTTATGGCCGGAATATCAAGGTCAACGTCGGAGTTTGGTCAAAGGACCCTCCTCACAACCAAAATGCCATAAAAGGACCTCCTGTGCCACCTTTTTTTTTAAAGCACCTTTCTCACAAGATCGACCACTTAAAATGACCTTCCTTGCAATTTTTCCTTAATAATATTAACGTAAATCCACCTATACCAGGCTTATTAATTAGACATTTAGGCCCAAAAAAAAAAAAAAATGACTCAAGAACTAGAATTTGGCCCATTGTCACTTTTACTTGGACCACTTTCCACAATTATAACAAGGTTGAAGAGGAAAAAATGCGACAATTAGTACAACTTTGAGAAACAAACGTGGTGAGATTCCATTAACATAGAATTCCCGAGTTATGACCTTGATTTTTGGGCTATATTTATACCATGAGAAAACTGCTAAGTCGTACTAATATCTACCTTTAGTGTTTGATTACACTCATTGTCATCCCCACTACTCACTCATTTGTTTGTCCCCCAAAAAATACTCATTGAGTAGTGTTTGTGAAGCCAACCTTAATTTTTGAGATGCAAAATTAATTATGACATATGCATACTTGACTTATTTTAGGCCCCAACCACATATTTTTTGTTATTTGATTTGTTATGATGTCATTATGTCACATGTAATGCCCTAAATTCAGGAGTTTGAGAATATGCATCCAAAATTTATTACTCTAACCCCCCAACAAACATACATCACGTTCTCCACCAAATGTCCAAGTGATAGAACATGTAAAATTTGATTATGTATTCACTCTTGTATCATTAACATAAACTTACATCACCATGTTTTCAAACGTTGTTAAAATCCCGATCTGGATCTTACGATCCTATGATTCTACGATCCAAAATTGCGTGATCGATCCGGATCTTTGGTAGGATCTTAAAGTTTGTTGGATCTTACGATCCTACTCTGATATTAATTATGAGTGGTAGAATCTCAACACAATCCTACGATTTTATTATGATCCTACGATCCTATCCAACATTTCACTATAATATGAGACTTTAATTTATTTTGACATATTTTTTTATTACTCATTAGGTTATATGCACCTAAATTTAATGTATTCAATAATTATTACTAATAAATTAGCGAATCTGAGATATTAATATGATTTTATCAATTAACAACTTGCAATTGTCATAGTTAAGGTCTCATTCTTGACAAATTTGCACATAATTTATCAATTTAAACTTGTGTCATTAATGTTCTAACTACCATACAGATAAAGCTAAATGAAGATCAACATTTCTTAAGCAAGCCAATGTCTTTTAGCATTAAAACCCCTTAGAAGAAATGTTTTTAAGTCAATTTATAGCATAATATATTATATAATTTGTTATTAAGTAGGATCTTACGATCCTACGATCCGATTTTATCGATTCAATCCCACCCCCTCTCATCGATCCAAGGTAGGATCCCGATCCTAACAATCTTGAAGTTGGAAGTATGTCAGTAATTTTATTCAATGAAATTACTCGTATATATATCTCCACGTATTATGCACAACGTATTATGTCTGTCTTTTCCAGTAGGTTTTAAAAAGTTGTTTTTCAATCAGTTTTAACTCTTATGTGTAGCCAAACTAAAGTAGGGACTATGAGACAAAGATAATATTACGCTTGTTTTGTAAGTTTGAGTTTTTTTGCACCTCCAAAATCCATCTTCTTATCATAACTAGATTAACATGAATATTCTAGCTTGAGCTATTGAGTATAAATTATACACTCAATAAAGAGTATATATGTATCTGCTTTTGTAGCCTTGTAGGACAAGGTCGAGTATAAGTCTTTTGAAAGACATTTTTAGTAGTGTAAAAATTAAAACCCCTTATTATATGGCAAGTGCTAATCCATGTTGACTTTGACAAAAGCAAGCAACGAAAAATTTTGACACTTCGTTTTGTGTGATTATCACAGAGCCGAACACGTGCCTTAGATATGGCTAATGATAAAAATCAATTAACTAAATTGATAAAATAATTAATTAATTGAAAAACAAAAGATACTCTACAGGTCTGAACATATTGAATTATACTACTTCGGGAATTCGCTGCTAAATTTGATTCTTAGTACTATTCGTATTTTTAAAAAAAAATTTAAAAATATATTAACTGTGATGAGAGGTAATAGTATGTGTTACTCCACAAACTTACTTTTGCTTGGCTAATGAGTTATGTGAAATACAATACTAGTATAATAAATGTATACTAGCTTAGTCGATAAAGTCTTAAAAAATAGTGGTGTGGTATCCAAAGTCTTGGATTGTATTCCGTATTAGTCTAATATTATTGCCCTATAGCATATGTACACCATGACACCAATTAGTACTTGACCTAGTGATAAAGAGCGAAGGATTCTTAGCTCACAATTCATCTAAGGGCACTTTCAAAATGGGGATTATCTAACAAACTAAGATCAGATTGACATGCACGAGATTCTGATTTGATATGGTGTCTTTTCCTTATCAACCAATATATCATACACTCGGAAAAGATTAGCATAATTGGTTTATGAAATTTAAAAAGGGACATAAATGAGTGGGTAATGTTATGATAATGAAGATGGAAAGCAGCCATGCACTACCAGCTGAGAAAGACATAATAAGCGCAGAAAGAGTCTTGGGTCTTTTATTGATCCTCGAGTCTAAGATTCTTGAACAAATTTTGCATCCTAGAATAATGATTTAAAAAAAAAAAAAAAAAAAAAAAAAAAAAAAAAAAAAAAAAAAAAAAAAAAGGTTTGTTAGAAATATACAAGTTGAAAAACTGAAGAAAAAGGAGGGGCCAAAACATGAGGTGGAGTTGTTGAAAACTTTGCATTTCAAGGGTATATTTTTTTTCTATAATTTGGATTTTTATTAATTGTGGTGGAACAATATGCTGAAATCAAGGAACCAAATGATGCTCGTTTTACCAGAAAATAAGGGTAAAAAAAAAGGATGAGCTATACAATTTCAAAGCATCTTAATGTGAATAACAAACTATTCAAATATGCTGAAGTACAAGTATTGTTTGTTTTTCCATTGCTTTAAACTAATTAGAATTTAGAAGAGGAAGCAAGGTTAAAGCAACTTAGTTCACTAAAGTTTACTGATAATAGTACTTTGTAGACTATCAGAGCATTAAGCTTTACTCCTTATGGCATTGAGCAGTGTAATGTGCTTTTACTAAACCCTAAGCCTTAAATGAACAACTAACAAGCTAATCAAGATGCAGTGAAAAGATTAACATAGTTCGAAATAATAATGAAATGTGCTTGGGCATCTAGGTGAGGTGTTACATGATTACATGAACGAAGCAACAACGTATGGACAGTGGTAAATTTAAGATTTTTCAAAAAAGGGTACACAAACATAAATAAAAGGTTAACAATTTATTATCAAACAATTGTGGGGTACAAATGTATAATCATATTCCTATCCCATACACAATACACCTATATTGGATCCGCCACTATGAATGGGCGACATGTGAGAAGGTGTAAGTGTTCAAACACTTAAAACACTGGGGCAAAATACTTTAACATAAGTTATCTCCTTCAAATAGAAAAATTAATCAAGGATGGATTCCAATGCGAGTTATTCAGATGAAGCAGCAAATAAGCATCACATTTAGATATAGTGAAGAACATAAACCTAGGACACAAACAAACACATATGTAAATTCTTTAATTTTCTACTTTCACCTTGTCAAATACGGGTCTGGGCCGCACCCGCAAACCAAGAGAGAGAGAGTCCATTTCACAAGACCAAAGGAGGTTCCATCCCAAAATCATATGGCAATAGGAAGAGTAGCCCCTTAGCCTTATAAAGTGTTTAACTCTCTCTTCTTTTATCAATGTGAGACTCTTACATGTGTTATTTGGTGGGATATACTTCAACAAACTTTCTTGTTTGTCACCTACAATATGATACATAAACTCATAAAGACAAGAGGAAAAAAACCACAAGATTAGGAGGCATAAGATTAGGAGTCTCGCGACGCGCAATGCTAATTGTAATTAACAATAAGAAAATAAAGAACAGCACCAATAATTAACATTAGTGACTATAAATTAGAGGCTCGATTATCCAAGCTAAACCACAGCCCATCACTAATTTACTACACTGACCTTATTTTGAGGAAAACAATGCATGAACACATGGGGTTGCATGGCTACAAAAGCTATTCAATTCAAACTTAAACCTTAGTATAAAAAATTACCCATCCTAAATCAATATTATGAAGACAGACACAAAACACAGAACCCCGAGGTGAAAGCTGGTGGGCTATTAACTAAACAAACTCATAATCTTTCATCACCTAAAATTTTTTATACACTCTTTTTTGCTTGCTTGTTTTGAAAGCATTGTAATCTTAAACTGATGAGTAAGCAGTTGCCCAAGAGAGAGTGAAAACCAATGCAAAAACTAGAAGAGAAATGTGGGGTTTGAGGCCAGTGTCAATGCCAATGCCGATGCCAGCGCCGATGCCAAGGCAACCCTTCAAGCCCCACCACAAACAACACCGTATCCGCCGCCACGTCCATCTTCATCTTATCCTTTTCCTAACTCTTTCTCTCTCTTCATTTTTCTTCCCCACATCTTTTGCATACACAAACAATGAAGTTTTCTTCCTACATTCATGGCTTCATAGCTCTTCCCAACCTCCACCACCTTCTGCTTTCTTAAACTGGAACCCTTTGGACCAAAACCCTTGTAAATGGTCTTTTATTACTTGCACTTCTGACTACTTTGTTTCTGAAATAAACATTCAGTCAATCCAATTGGCTTTACCTTTCCCTTCAAATATCTCAACCCTTAGCCACCTTCAGAAACTGACCATTTCTAGTTGTAATCTCACTGGTTCAATCCCGGAAAGCGTAGGGGATAGCCTGCAGCTGACATTACTTGATCTCAGCTCGAATGGGTTAGTCGGCTATATCCCTCGTACAATCGGGAAGCTTAAGAACCTGCAAGATTTGACTCTGAACTCCAATCAGCTCACTGGAAAAATCCCAGCTGAGTTAGGTGACTGTGTTAGCCTAGAAAATCTTTCGCTCTTTGATAACAACTTCAATGGTGAGCTCCCAGCTGAGCTTGGCAGACTCACAAATCTGCAGGCATTGAGGGCAGGCGGAAACAAAGACATCTCTGGGCCGATACCAGAAGAGCTAGGGCAATGCCAGAATTTGACAGTGCTTGGGTTGGCAGATACAAAGATTTCGGGGTCGCTTCCAAGGTCACTGGGCCAGCTGAGGAAACTCGACACCATTGCAGTTTATACTACAATGCTGTCAGGGGAGATCCCACCAGAACTAGGTAACTGCTCTGAGCTTGTGAACTTGTATCTCTATCAAAATAGTCTTTCTGGGTCAATCCCTAAAGAATTAGGCAAGCTAGAGAAGCTAGAGAAGTTGCTGCTTTGGCAGAATAATTTGTCTGGTGCAATTCCTGAAGAGATTGGGAATATCTCAAGCTTGGTAATTATTGATCTTTCATTGAATACTCTATCTGGGACTATACCTTTATCATTTGGGAACCTACCTAACCTCCTAGAGATAATGCTGAGTAGTAATAACATTTCTGGCTCAATTCCAACAGTTATTTCCAATGCTGCAAATTTAGTACAATTGCAGGTTGATAATAATCAGATAACAGGCTCTGTCCCAGCGGAGCTAGGAAGGTTAAGTGGGCTGCAAATCCTCTTTGCCTGGCAGAATAGGCTTGAGGGGAGCATTCCTTCTGCATTGGCTAATTGTAGCAGCCTCCAAGCTTTAGATTTGTCACACAACTCACTCACTGGTAGTTTGCCCTCTGGTCTGTTTCAGCTTCAAAACCTCACGAAGCTGCTGCTGATTTCCAATCACATTTCAGGTTCAATCCCACCTGAGATTGGGAATTGCAAGTCCCTCATTCGTCTCCGCCTTTTTAACAATAGGATCACTGGGGAAATTCCAAAAGAAATAGGTTTCCTTGGAAGTATTAGTTTTCTTGATTTATCTCATAACCGCCTTTCTGGGTCAGTTCCAGATGAGATAAGCAAGTGCAAAGAGTTGCAGATGCTGAATCTGAGCAACAATACAATCAGGGGCTCAATTCCTGACGCACTGTCATCTTTGAGAAAGCTTCAAGCGCTGGATCTGTCATATAACCTACTTACAGGTCCAATTCCAGATGGTTTTGGCCAGCTAGATTCAATTAATTCACTCATTCTTAGAGGAAATTCTCTCTCTGGATCAATCCCATCATCCCTTGGAAGCTGTTTGGAGCTTCAACTGATAGATTTAAGCAGCAACGGATTTTCAGGAAGGATCCCACAGGAGCTTTTCCAAATTCAAGACCTTGATATTGCCTTAAATTTGAGCTGTAACAATCTTTCAGGTGTTATACCCCTGCAGATTTCTTCCCTAAAGAAGCTGAACATTCTAGACATGTCTCACAACAGGCTTGAAGGCAGTCTGATGCAGCTCTCTGCGTTGGATAATCTGGTGTCTCTGAATGTATCTTACAACAATTTCACAGGTTTTCTACCAGATAACAAGCTATTTCGACAGCTATCGTCTAAGGAGTTGGAAGGAAATCAAGGATTGTGCTCACAAAATCATGATTCATGCTTTGTAGGTGATGGCATTGGATCAGATACAGGGCATAGTAGGCAGTCAAAGAAATTGAAATTGGCAATCGGTTTACTGGTAGCTCTGACTGTCATACTGGTGGCTCTAGGTGTCATTGCAGTTTCTAGGGCAAGGAAAATGATTAAAGATGACAGTGAGTCTGAGATTGGGATGAATGCCTGGCCATGGCAATTCACCCCTTTCCAAAAGCTAAATTTCGCACTTGATGATGTTCTGAAGAGCCTGGTGGAGAGTAATATCATTGGAAAAGGATGTTCAGGGATAGTTTATCGAGCAGAAACGGAAAATGGGGAGCTGATTGCAGTAAAGAAGCTATGGCCAGCAACAATGGGAACCAAACATGATTGTCAGAAAGACAGATTCAAGGACAATGGACGTGATTCCTTCTCAGCTGAGGTAAAGACTCTTGGTTCCATTCGCCACAAAAACATAGTTAGGTTCTTGGGATGTTGTTGGAACAAGAATACAAGGTTGCTTATGTATGATTACATGCCTAATGGAAGCTTAGGGAGTCTTCTACATGAAAGGAGTGGAAGTTGCTTGGACTGGGATCTAAGGTATAAGATCATCCTAGGGGCAGCTCAAGGATTAGCTTATCTGCATCATGATTGTGTTCCTCCTATAGTTCATAGGGATATCAAAGTCAACAACATTCTAATAGGCCTTGATTTTGAGCCCTACATTGCTGACTTCGGCCTAGCCAAGCTTGTTGATGATGGGGATTTTGCTCGGTCTTCCAGCACTGTTGCCGGTTCCTATGGCTACATGGCACCTGGTAAGCAGATTTCTTCTTTACATTCATGTTTCTACATAATCAACCATTCTGCCTTCAATGTACTATAGTTCCATATTAAAATCAAAATTTTTTGTGTAATGTGCAGAGTATGGCTACATGATGAAGGTTACAGAGAAGAGTGACGTGTATAGCTACGGAGTAGTCATGTTAGAAGTATTAACAGGGAAGCAACCAATTGACCCAACCATACCTGACGGTCTACATATTGTAGAATGGGTGAGACTAAGGAAAGGAGGTGCAGACGTAATAGACCAACAGTTAAAGGGAAGATCAGAATCAGAAGTCGAGGAGATGATGCAAACAATTGGAGTGGCATTACTCTGTGTAACACCCTCCCCTAATGACCGCCCCACCATGAAAGACGTAGCAGCCATGCTCAAAGAAATACGACAAGAAAGAGAAGCAGATTGCACAAAGGCTGACACACTACTTAAAGGATCACCAATGTCAAAAGACCAACAAACAAGCAATACCAACAGCTCCAAAGGAGGACCATCTACAGCAATGCAACAACATTTATACACACGAAGCAATAATACGAGCTTTTCGGCTTCGTCTCTCCTATATTCTTCCTCCAATGGCAACATTACATTCAAATAATAGCCTACAATGTCAGCCATTCACTAGGATATAAAATTTGTTTCTTCTTACTAGGTTCTGTATCTTCCCTTTATCTTATGCTTAACCTTCATTAGAGTGTATCAGGGGGTAAAAAATGACGAGCCGAATTCGACAAACTGGATAGAATCAGGCATTTCTGGTTCTGATCATATACTATAAGCAATAACATGCTACCATCTATAGTTTTGTATAAATGCAAGAACAAATTTTATATCATCAAATTCCATTAACATAGTCAAACTATCATGTAGTTAAATTCAGCTAGGCGTTTTATCGAACAGGTTATGGGCACTCGGAAATGATTATCCTTTTATATATATATATATATATATATATATATATATATATATATATATATATATATATATATATATATATATATATATATATATATTATGTTTTTGCAATTTTAGCAACAAACAAATTAAAGACATTCATAATCAACAATTACAAAACTTGCAAATTAAAAAAAAAATAAAAAAAAAAAAATTAAATCAACCTAAAGCAACCAACAACTCAAATTCAACAACTAATTGTAAAAAGGTAAATCGAAATTATAAACTAACCTTTGAAATATTTGAATTGCAGAATTGTAGATCACAGAATCGGAAATTTGTTCTTCATATTGCGTGAAGGATGAAGCAAATAGAAGATTTCTTTTTTTCTTTTTTTTTTTTTCACATTGCACGCTGGGTAGGTTAATTACAAGTAATGTAACTTTATTTATTTTTTGTTTATACTCCGTAAGTAAATAATTTTGGAGGAAAAATTAAATACCTACCCACATTTTTTTTTTCCCTACATCTGATCACCGGTCACTTAGAATCACGAAGGAAGATATACTCAAAAGTTTAGATTATACTACAATAACTTGTAGTTGGGATTAATATGGGAAGACCTCCCATAGTTGGGATTGTTCTTACAAATTTTTCCTAATTCAATACTAATACTATCAATTATTTACGTTTAAATAAATGACTACAAAATTATTGTAGCTATTGTAAAACTATCATATATTCATATATTGTCTCGGTTTATTATGTACTACAAAATTTCAATGCAGTTCAATTCTAGTCGAGGCAATTCTAGAATGAAGCAAAGTCTATGAAGAGAGTATGAATGGAGCAGTAAAGAAAACGTTGTACATGTCCAAAAAGCAATAGAATGATTAAATTGATTAAATTCAAATCATTAGTAAAATTAGAAACTTAGTGATGATGAACCAACTTCCCCAATGAAGTCACAGTTTTTATAAGCACACTACAAGTTTGGAAAACAACATTTCAAGAACAAAATACAACACTCACAGATTCACAGTAAACTGTAAAGTTTTTCACTCTGCATAAAATTCAACTATATAACAATCCACAAATCAACTTCAACATAGCAGGATCATTACACACTGCCAGTACCACCAGTTGCACCCCCAAGGACACTACCCGCTCGTGTCATCGGTCCGTTTTTCAAGGCACGTCTCTGCTGAATAATCCCAACTATGCGAGGACCAAGACCAGCATACCACAAAATAATCAAAATCCACAACAATACAGCAATGACTAACACTGCAAAAGAAAATGCAACGATCTTAACTTGTTCATCAGGAGGAGCAAGCGTTATTATAGAAGACACGTAACTCGCTGCAATGGCAACAATAGCCATCCAAATCGACACCATAAATAGCCCTTTAAAGAACCTGTACTTTTGAGGCAACCCTGTAAGAAGCAACAAGAACACAGATAAAGCAGCTATGAACCCGACCGTGTTTTCGACAATGAACACCGTGTAAAGTCCCGGGGCACTGTATGCCATGACGGAAGTGCCTGCTTTATGCTCCTTCTTTACTTCTTGCTTATATTTATTTATAGTCTCTTGGTAAATGCCTCCACCGGCTTGAAAGGCGGCTGCTGCTATCATTACAGCTTCTTGTTTGTCCTGCAAGTACTTCACCAGAGAATTCGTCCTCATACCACCGCCGCCGTTGTTTATAGGAAGCCAAGATGATTGAAGGTTGTTGTTAGTATTCGTCATTACAGCTCCAGCACTATAAAGGGTGCATCCAATCATACCTCCTACGCCCTTGAATAAGATGTCCATTGCTGTTTGGCCTGCACCATTCTTTGCGTTGACTTCTATGGTTTGGATTTGAAGTAGATAGTTGACCGCCCGCTAACATTCAAATATTTACTTGAGTGTTTGGATACATGCAACTTATTATTATTATTACTATATGTTTCATTCATATCATATAAATTCTTCGTTCATTTCCACTTGCACTATTTGAAGTTTTATCAATCAATAACATAATACTAAAACATACATCAGAAATAACACGTGTCACTTTTTGGTGTTGATTTTTTCCCTCCAAAAATCCATCCTATTTTCTTGCCAAAGTCATTTTACATAATATTTAGATAATATAAATTTTCTATTTTTATTTCTTCTATGCATAGAATGTCAACTAAAATATTAATTTAATATTATTTTATACTGCGTGACTATTCTGGCCAAAATCTTTTAAAAGAATATTTGTATACCTGTATTATGATTTCCTATTTGGTCATCTTATTTCTTATACATACAATCAACTAAAATATTCATTTTCTAAAGCGGCATTTTTATGTAAATGCATTACTTTTTTTTTTTTTTGGACATCTTTTTTTCATACATATTTTTAATTATATCTCCATCTTCACATGTTCCCACACCTTTTTTTATTTATTTATTTATTTATTATTACTATTATTATTATTATTATTCTACTCCTATCACATCCTTTATTTTTTTAATAACCATCGCCCACTAATTTCAATTTAAATTTTTTTTTATCTCCAAATGAATTTCACCTACACAAAATTGTACTTTTTTCAATTCACCATCCTAAAATTTAGTGTTGGTAAAACTGATGCACTTAAAAAAAATGGAGGGAGTATAAATTTGGCAATTTTGTCACTGAGCTTTACAGTACATCATATATGATAGACTGTAAAATAAATGTTGTCTTTGAACAACTTATATCACATGTCTAATTTTAGAACAAAGTATTATCACATCTCAATCAAATGTAATGATATGGACGATAGTACATTAAATTGTTGAAAAATTAGTTATTAAAAAATTATTTATATCTCAGCTAATCACAAAAAAAAAAAAAATTATTTTTTTGCCAGTACATGCACTTATTTGAGTTAAATTTTTACTTTTAATTAGGACAGCTAACGCGCGCACCATAACTAACCATACACGGGGAGCTTTTTTTAGTTGGTCTTATGTCACAACTTAAGTTGTTGCTAGTATTAATAAGGGAAAATTGCCATAACTAACCATACCCGGGGAGCTTTTTTTAATTGGTCTTATGTCACAACTTAAGTTGTTGCCAGCATTAATAAAGAAAAATACATAAGGAAAAATATTTTTTCGTATGTAAATAAACATATTAACGGGCATAATTGTCTCAACAATATTCATAAAAATTGAATAATATTAAGGTGCATAATTGTCTCAACATATTCATAAATGTAACGAATATTTTTTTTTTTTGACAAGAAGAAAAAGGATTTCATTAATGAAAGATAGCGAATATTTACTCTTATATTAACGAATATAATATAAGAGTAAATATGTAAATAAACATTTCAATGAGGCAGTTTTTATGTAAATGCATTACTTCCTTTTTTTTTTGGACAACATCTTTTTATCATACATATTTTTAATTATATCTCCATCTTCACATGTTCCCACATCTTTTTTTTTTTTATTTATTATCCACTACCCCCAAAGAGTTGCAATAAAAAAGGTGGTTCTATGACCATGGTAACCATCCTGGCATATGAAAAGCCGGATAAACCACAAGATCCAATCTTCAAAAGATTGGTCTGCATTAGATTGTGAGTGGAATTGTAAAATTCCACCCCTCCAAGCATCTTGAGCAGAAGTGCAAACTCTGAACAAGTGCTGTAAATCCTCCTCCTGAAACCCACAAAGGTCGCACTGAATATTAATCTCCAACCCGATTCTATCCAGCTTACACCGTGTTGCAATTCCGTTCCTTAGTAGTTTCCACGTAAACAGTTTCCATTTTGGCAGAATATCAACTGACCACAGTGTTTTATATTATATATATCCAGAATATTGTCGTATGTCTGTGGTGCTGTAGACTGTTTAAGGAACGCATACCTCGCTTTGACTGTATAACGGCCAGACTTGTGGTAACCCTAATACAAATAGTCATTAGCATCTTGGTCCGGTAATTCCAAACTAGCAATCAACAAAGCATCTTCCTGCACAAAAGCAATATACAATCTAGAAAGATTCCAACTGTTACCAGTTGGGGGATGCAATGACTCACCTTCCAGTTCTTTGCCTGTTCCAAAGTGACTCCAGAAGAAATTCAGGAACCTTGCCCGCCATCCACCTATCCTTGCCAGCCAGCACCGAACTACCATTTCCTATCTTCCAACTACAACCCTTGAAAGAGTATTCCCTGCGTTTACCAAGCCTTACATTCCCCAAGAGTAGTTCCTATTTTGCCCCCTGGCTGGCACTCCCTTAGTGATCTGTATCTAAAAACGAGCTGCACACACCTTCGAAAGCAAAAGTTGGGGGTTATGAGATAATCTCCATGCCTGCTTCATCAGTAACGCTTTATTGAAACACCCCAAATTTCGAATCCCCAGTCCCCCCATACCCTTTGGGAGACTCACTTTGTCCTTACTAACCCAGTGCATTCCTTTATTCTCCTTGTTTGCCCATAGAAAGGTCGCTAGCAGCGAGTCAATATCATTAGCAAGGACAAATAAGGGAAAATCGCCATAACTAACCATACCCGGGGAGCTTTTTTTAATTGGTCTTATGTCACAACTTAAGTTGTTGCCAGCATTAATAAAGGAAAATACATAAGAAAAAAATAGTTTTCCGTATGTAAATAAACATATTAACGGGCATAATTGTCTCAACAATATTCATAAAATTGAATAATATTTTAAGGGGCATAATTGTCTCAACATATTGATAAATGTAACGAATAAATATAAGAGTAAATATGTAAATAAATATTTCAATGGGGCGTAATGTCTCAACAGTACACTATTTATAAGTGTTTAATCATACTTTTAAAAGAATCTACTATAAATTATTACTTAAACATGTCATGTTGACATCACTATTGTTCACGTGACAGCTTCATTATAAAAAAATTTCCCTCCCAATCTAAAGCTAACTTCATCAAATTATGTTTTGTAATTTTTTATTTTATTTTTTGCCAATCATGTTTTTTTTTTATTTAATGAGATGAATTTGAATTGGGGTGGCAAAAATAGAGTGATTTTACTGTTTTCTTTTCCCCAAAAGATCGCTTGACTATCGAGCTAAACTCTCTCACCTCTATTTCGTCTCATCTTATCCCATCCCCTATTTTGTTTGTTTTTCTTCTCCGATCCACTTCCTATGAACCATTGGATTAAGGATTGGAGTATCAAACACTATTATTTTAGTAAGTTACATATTGATTTTAAAACTATTTTAATAATAAGCTTTAAATTACGCAATATTTTTTGGTTAAATTTGTGCATCGCACGGACATTAATCTAGTATAATTATTAAAATTAACATTAATTCTTAATTCTTATTTGTGGCTAGCCAATAGCCACATCGTGTGGCCAGCCATCATGAAGGCTACTTTATTAGTGTTATAGGGGTTACTTGGTCAGTGTTACAGGGGTTACTTGGTAATGTTACAGGGGCTACTTAGTCAGTGTTACAAGGGTTAGTCGATCGATATTATAGGAATTACCTTACTAATTTACAAGCGGGCACATGATGTGACCAACCACACACAAGACACACTATAAAATTAAATATGATGAAAGTATACATAGAGAATGGATGTATCTAATAAGATTCATTATGTTTGTCTTTTTTTTTTTTTTTCTTTTTATAGAAATCACTAAACATGTTTAAAAGAGAAAGTATGAGTAATATTATGT